GAATATAAACGTATGCAAGCACTTGCCTACAATGGATATAAGCGCATGCAAGCACACGACTAAAATGAATATATACGTATGCAAGCACTCGCCTACAATGAATATAAACGTATGCAAGCACTCGCCTACAATGGATATAAGCGCATACAAGCACACGGCTACAATGGATATAAGCGCATGCAAGCAAACGACTACAATGAATTACAATGAATATAAACGCATGCAAGCACTCGCCTACAATGAACATAAACGCATGCAAGCACTCGCCTACAATGGATATAAACGCATGCCAGCACACGACTACAATGCCAACTGGTGAGAAGATTTCTAGTCATAGAGATCCCGGAACCTACGCACGATTGTGTTTACTATCAACGAGCAACCTCTAAGTTTCACCCACGTATATAAATGACAACTACGTCTTCACATACCCACTCAGAACATTCCGGATGGGAAGTCCTTATTTTCAAAAACTGAAAATGAAGGCATCGCGTTTCCCAACACAGGATGACCGTGCACCTTACCACACTCAGCACAGGTTTAGCCTTACACGCACATACATAAACATGCCAGGATAAAAAGACCAAGTACAAACGCCCAGCTACATACTATGATCACTGGGGAGAAACTCTCTTGTCTTAGCTTAGAGATGAAGGCATTGAGTTTCCTGAACCGGCGCTCGCTTATGTTAACTATGTCTTGGTAGCCGTCGAAGTAGATGACAGTCGGTTTGACCACTGGCGATTCCATCACATTTTCGGCTGAGGGTACGGGGCGCGGAGCCTTCATGAGCACATTCCGGACACTAGATAAGATCTGAGGAATGTGGGAAGGAATGTCATAAGTAATGCGGAGAGGTGAGGGGATGGAGGGGGCGGGCAGTATTCTTCATGAGCATATCACGGACACTCGGGAAGATTTAAGGAATGTAGACAAGAGTGCGGAGTAAAGGCGATATTCAGAGTATGAGCAATGATCGAGGGACATTCTGGAAACATTGAAGGAGTTTAAAACCACACTAAAAGAAGCGAAAGGGAATTGAATTTTCGCATGGGTATGCGTGTACAAAGCCATAGTGCCCGGTGGTCCATATACAAACCCCGACCCACAATCAGATACTAGGAACGAATAGTGAAATATGGAGAGCAAGGTTAAATCCGCCATAGTTGTTCATAAGACCATCTCCAACAAATGGTGATATTTAAGAAACGCGGGAGATAGAATGTAGCCACGGTCTAAGCTTGTCAGTGTGGCTACGAAGCGTATTTCAAAGGCATGAAAGATTGGGATAACGCGTATTAGGTTTACAAACAATTAGGCGACGTCGACATACGCTCGAACGAGATCGGTCTTTATCTATACTCCTATGTATATATATATATTACATACAAACATACACACACACACACATATATATATATATATATTCCAGGTATAAATATCTAATTATGTATTTTTGACACATGAACATACCATTTTATTTATAAAGGTCAGTGCATGTACACACTATTTCGATTGATACACATACATACAGTACACATGCACACATGATGCACACGTTGTATCTACTACACACCTCATCAAATCGATCTGGTTTTTCCGGCGCCATGGAAGGACCATCATCTCCCGAAAGTGAGATGACCTGGAAGTTGATTTCTGCTACATGTAAAGTAGGTATGTAAGTTAATTTGCGGATCACTCTATACACACCTCGAGCTATAAATACACGCACGAATCACATGAAATGTACATTTAACTCGCGACAGACGTATACAAAGTTGAGATGAGGATGAGGGTGCTGATTAGCTATGCCGTTTTCGCTGGATATCACTACGATGTATGAATTATGAGAGTACTCGCACGGAATTAGTTAAATTATTGCCGTGACGGGACGATCATATCATCGAATCATAAGTTAGTACAAACTTTACCCATCGCCCAGAATTACCAATACTATGGCTGAAGGTCTATACTATACATACGATTTAACAATTTGTAGAAAGCAGAAACGATCCACATCAATCTCACCTTTGGACCTGTCAAATCTGCCCTGCCTACTGACCTTCAAACAGGACTACAATTGACCAAGCATTCAAACCAAGAACTTGCCCGTAATCTGATTGTCACCATTAAATACATACTGTGTATGGATGTATAAAACACCTGTCGTATCTCATATTGATATAAATGTATGACATACCTCTCATGTCTTTCAAAGGTCCATGCATTCTCACGGACTCCGGTGGTGGACCTTGAGAATGCATCTCTGCCCAATCATCACCCACTTGCCCCTGCGCAAATAAATATACACCAGTGAATGAGCCGATTTCAAATACTTCCAACGCACACAAAGGAAAGGGGGAGTACTTTTGTTGTTATATACATGGTACAGGGAAGACAGGATTATACAGCACATCATTTGTGCCAAAGAAACAAATGCCTCAGTTCAGCAAAGCCTCAAATCATAACATACACAACACTCATGGCCAACATATGCCAAAAGTCCCGAGCAAGCTAATTGTAGACCGAGACATACGTAGACACCACCGCTGTATACACAGAGTCAAGATTTATGTAATTTGTTGCTAATACACAACGGGAAACCAACTCGCTTTCATGCCCTTTACTCCTCTGTGGTGTGTATTGAAATATTGTGATTGTAGGGTGAATACGCCGTATGGGCATCGTAATTTGGGCCCAGTCTGCGTGGACTTATGCGGTAAACCTGACTTATAAGCTTACAGGTCCAGTATTTTGCTTTTCAACTCAGTGGCAGGTTGTAAGCGCTATGCGAGAGTGGATCGACTTCGATATTACACAGACAATTTCTAATTGATACACAATTGTTCACCATAGAAGACACCAAGAAAATGCGGATCAGCCCAGACCTGAACCTAAACATATTCTACACAGCGAAGGTAACCGACACCTTGCGGATTGGTTAGTGATAATAGCTATACACTTGTGAAGCGCTATATAAACCAGAAGAATAACACCCCAGATGCACCTGATTTTTAGCTGCTGAAGATATCCCCGGTAATAGCTGACATACACCAGATACACACGGTGCAGTACATGCCCATACTAGCTGACATACACTCAGATAGGCAGATATGAATTTCAGTATACATGCACAGTCCAGACTGTCCACGTGCAAGCAGTTGCGTTGTAAACAGTATACACCGGCACATACCAAAACGCCACACACAACTACACATTGGTAGACAATCACACCGTAAAATTCATTACATGCGACAGGGGGTACCAGGGATATATGATGTAGCTTACATAGGAACCCAAAATTCTGTACCACATGTGTTTACGCACCCTGAAGTCCATTCTGTCCAGGTGCAGATAGTTTGCCCCGTAGTGGCTGGCAATGCTCTTGGCCACGTGCTGGTGGAGCAATTCAGCATTGTCGTTGGGGCTCACTAGTTGTATGATACCACTGAAGGAGTTGCAGGCAAGCCGCAGATGGTCGGACATCTGTGCATTGGTCATGTCCATATACAGAGAGCTTAGTCAGATATCATTGAGAATGGCCAGTTGTGTAATACGACGCGAGTAGTTGCGGGCAAGCCGTAGGTAGTTTGACATCTGCCTACTTGTAATAACCTAATAGTAAGAGATGGGCTGTTTTCGAATCAACGAGGACTCCGTACAACCGATCGTAGATGACTTCATTAGTGGGAGATTGGCGGAAGAAGAAATAGTTATGAAACATTGGGAATAACTAAATACTTATAACTATTGACAAAATACCACTGAGATAGTTGGTGCCAGCCGTATATGACGTGGCATCTGGGCGTAGGCAATCGACAAATAAAGAAGCAGTCAGGAATAGGGACTAAACAAGACTTCAGTGATAGATAGGTGATGCCGACAACATACATGACATCCTCATGCACATGTGCTACCATATTTCATAGTTCATGTCATCTGACATTCACATATGTCACTTTCAATCAGTTTAGTACTCGCGTTGCATAAATCGAATAGGCGTATAGTCGCACACCTCACTGCGCATAATATCACTAAAACAATTGTTGCTCTGCGAGTAGCTTTGATCTCGTAGACGTACGTTAGTTACCGTTACTAACATTAGCATGCCCGTCACACTGCTTGGGTTGGTTGTCATATACGTACCTGTGGATGAGACATATGTAGAGCGGTCGATAGATGCACCTGGGTGATTGAGTTCGGGTGTAATTCATAAGGAATGTCCTTAAAACTCTGGATCTCGAGATCAGTGCCAGGTAACAGCCGCGAAGTAAGGGCGGCCTCAACTGTAGCTGTACTCCAATGCAAAAGTAAAACAAACTTTAGAGATAAACAATTGGTATCCGTAGAGCTGTGCGTTATATATATATATATGCACATATAGGTATCCATAAAAGAATAAATATACTATGCAAACATACAAATACCTATATATATATATATATATATAATATATAAACAATAAATACATACATACACACACACACACATATATATATACTACATATACATATGTACTAC